GGGGGGTGACCGGCGGTTCCTGAGTTTTTGGCTTAGCTTGTAGGGACACAAGAACCCCCCAAAGCACCACGATCAACAGGCAGGGGAAAAGGCGCGGTTGAGGCTGGACACCGCTGGTCTTGAACCTACTTTCCTGGCAAGGACAGCTAGGTCTTGACCCCAGCTGAAGTGGAAGCTTCCAGGAAGAGGCAGTGGCCTTGGTGCTTTTGGGTGAACTCTGAGTGTGCTGAGCAATGACCCTTGCCACACCGCTCTCCCCCGCACCCCGAGGACCAGTCGGGCATCTGGCCCCGAACCCACGCGGAGCCGTCCATCTCTGCTCCACGCTGCTCGCGCAGCCTAAAGGGGGTTCCCTCTACCGCCGCCCCCGCCCGGAAGTTCTTGGCAGAAGCTCCAGGCAGAACTCCAGGTTGGGGAGCCAGAGGCTTTTGTTCCGCGCGTTTCCGGCTGCAGAAAACTGGGGAGCTTCTCCTACCACCCGCAGACTCCAGAGGCCGGCCTCGCCGCTCAGCCCTCCCTGCGGGCGAGCAGTCTCGGCGCCGCAGCTCTCTGCTCCCGGTTCCCGCGGGGAGGCTGCCAACTGGCCTCCAAGGGCCAGACTAGGGAGGAGGGCGCGACCAGAGCCTCTCGGGACAGCGCAGCTACCCTCGTCTCGGGCGCTCCGGAGACGCCTCCTCGGCCTAAGTGAGGGTTCCCTCTTTTGCCTCAAGAGTTACGCGCGAGGCACGTGAGCCGCGCAGGATGTGCGGCTGTGGATTTTGAGCAGCAGCGAAAACGCGTGCGGATTGCGCGCTTCTCCCCAGCCCTACAGGCTGAAGCCCCTCTGGTTCTGAGATTCGGAGTTTAGGGCCCAGAGCAGCTGGATCAGGCCTCCGAGCCTGGTTTCGAGGCGGCCTAGGCCCTGCCACACATTCCCTGCTGCCATTCCTGGCGGGTCTCCTTCGCCTTCTGCGGTCATAGCCTTGGCTCTCCCGCTTGTGTTCGATCGAGGGGTGCCAGGCAGAAAAGGAGCCTTTTCCCCAGTTTGCTGCTAGAACGTCAGGACAGAGGATGAGGCCCTCGTTTCTAGAGTCTTGGGTAGGATGGGGTGCCAGCTTTTGGCTGGGCGGGTGGGGCGTTTTCCCTCGCTTGCATAACCACGGGGCCAGTACCCGCCTCCCCTCTGCCTGGCTCCACGACTGGAAGGCACCGGCCAGGCCCACCGTGGGCTTCTGGTCTAGGGCGGGGGGGGGGGCACATTCTGTCCTTTTATGGTGAGTTGGGTGGCTTTGGCAGGAGCAGGTGGGTCAGGATTTAGGAAATAGTCGCTGGTGGTCCACTTCTTTTTCTCCTCGAGCTTTCCCCAGGTACAGGAGACTAAAAACCCCAGATATATGTCTTCCAGGCCAAAGCCAACAAGCAGAACTGTGCCCACCTCTTCCCACTTCGCACCTGAGGGGCAATCATGCTGAGGGTACCGGAGGGCTCAGCCCTTAGCCAGCGAGCTCCGCTCTGGAGTTAGGTGTGGGGGTAAGGGAGGTGTGTGTGTGGGGGGACTTCTCGCTGCTACAAGCTCAGGTTTCTTCTCCCCACTCCCAGTCTGATTGAATCCAGTAGTCCCACCTGGAAGAGTCTCTAAAGCGATGAGTCAAACATGCAGAAATGAAAAGACTCTAAAAGAAGCGAGTTGTTGGCTTATTGTCTATATAGAAAAAGCTGGTCTGGAAAGGCCCCGTTTTCTCTAGTTTTTAAAACCGAACGTACACATACAACTGTGCTCCCGCTGATGAAATTGGAAACCTGTTTTCCCACTGAGGACGACAATCTGTGTTTTAGACGCTGCGGTCCTTTCAGACAGCGAGGAACAACACTGCAGTAGCATTTAAAAACAAAGAGAAGGAGACTGCTTGAGGCGCGTGGCTGCACGCCTCTTCTCCAATTTGAGTTTCAGCTTTTCTTCTTTAAACTTGTTAACGGACAGCCAAGACTCCAAAGGTAGAACAAAAGCACCTGGAGCTTTGCTCTCCCTACTACTTTGCCATCGCGAGTCTCCCTCCCCTTTTCCTTTTGGGAAAGTGCTCACTATTGCTTTCATTTGTAATGGCTTAAAATAGTCCGAAAATCACATTATTTTCTATGATGAAACAGGAAAATGCAGAAAGAAAACTAAGTACTTAAAACCAAAAACACTAACAATCTTATCTTTGAAAGAGAAAAATGTTACTTCAGATTTAATAGCTCTTAAGTGTACCTGAAGTTGCTACTCAGTTGTAATTAATATACCACTAGGTGCTATTTGCTGCTCTCCCTACATCATTGTCATTAGTGGGTGTCATTAAAAAGATAGATAAGTAGAAATATAGACTCAGGTCCTTTAACTCACCATAATACAGAGGCATGGAAATGTACACCAACTCCCTCCATCTGGTCCTCTGTACTTTCCATTCTCCTTAACTGAGAAGATAAATCTTTTATGGGACCGATATAGCCAGATCTAAACAGAAACATTCATGGATTAATACAAGGCAAATTTATTTTAATTTGCTATATAATTTATTTTAATTTGGGATTTAAAATTGATTTTTAGCTTTAAAAATGCCATGACTTATTTATAATAGATACATGAATTTTTAAAGGGGTAGTGGTGGTTCAAGACCTGAGTTGACATACTTCAGGGATTTTAAAAGAAAAAACATTACTATACTACATATTTTTACTGACAGAAGCCAGTAAGTTATCTTAAGTTTCTTAAAGGACATTGCAATGTTCTTTAACGTTTCATAGAGCTCATGAGTCAGTATCCCTGATTTAAAAAAAAAAAAGTCTGCAGGAGGAGAAAGCAAACTGTACAAAGATGAATAATGATGTAATATATACAGAAATAAAAATAAAAATTTAAAAATCTGCA